CCATGTTTTCATTGATGATTCAGAGCTTGACGAAGAAGCCGTGCTCGATGAATTGCAAATCTTAAAGAAATAATGTTCAATTTTTGAAAGATGAAGAGGGGAAGAAGACGATAGAAGACATAGAAGCTGGAAAAAATAAAACTTGTCAAAAATAAAACCCTAGATCCCTAAACCCCCAATTTTATTTCCCTAGAATTTAAGGGTATAAAAAAAATTTTGGGTATTTGTCCAGGTGGCTTGTCCATCTCAGCATAAAAAATGCCACATCAGACGCAAAAAAGAGGTGGGTTAACGGACCGTTGAAACCTAACGGAAAGATGGTGCCAACGTTAACAGAGGGGGTGATTTGCCACTGAAAGTGAGTTGAGGGGGTAGTATGCGCGTGAAGTAAGTTGAGGGGGTGATTTGCCACCAGTAGGTGAGTTAAGGGGGTGATCTGCACCTTTTGCCAAACAAAAATACTTAGCCTGATGGCCCTGATTCAAACTGCACCTAACCTGGACCCGCTTTACGAGCCAAATCTCCTAACTTCTTAACATCTTAAAAGACGTCTTATTCTCTTCATATACATGGGACTTCTCATTGGGGACCGCTATTCTCCATTTTGGCTACTCAGACTGGGGACTGTCTCCCGAGCAGCCATTTTGACTCTGTGGGCATATTTGGTGCAACATTCAAAATTCAACAAATGGCGGCTAGGGTAGTTAGTACATAATTGATAATTAATAACAATAGTGATTAGTAAGTAACAATTAAAGGATAATAGGTGATGAATAGCAAAAAGTATATAGTAGCTAACATATGGTAATTTATATAATTGTTTGATTATATATATATGTCATTTAATAGTTATTGTTTAACATTAAATGATTAATAAAAATATATTCGAAAGCAGTTAACTGTATATTTTTTATTTTTTATTACTAAAATAATTAATTTTTCAATAGAAATAAATAAATGAAATATACTACTATGAATCACACAATACTCCTTTCCATGTAGTTTTAACAAAGTAAAAATTATATATATTTTTTATGAAAATAGAGACTTATTTGAATTCAAATATAGAGTTAAATCTAAATCTTTATTTCATAGGCATAAACAAAGATAATAATGTAGAACAAAAGTTACTATGAGCATCATAAACTAATGGACATTTTCACTTATTTTGACAGCTTCTTAAGAAAAGCACGTATTTGGGCTAGCAACAATCTTCACCAGTTAATAACCTTACCATATTCACAAAGTGATTATCCTAGTGGAAAGTTGTGCCCGTCCATCCAAAACATTCACAGTTCATCGAGCAAGGCCAGGAATGAACCTAATCTCTCTCCTTATCAAAACCAACCCTTTCACCTTCATATTTAGTGAACCAGTTCCAATCTTCAGCTTCTCCACCATCCCCATCTCCGTTGGTAGCACCTTTACTTAGTCACCCATACCACCATTATTTAGGAGCAACGTACCCTAGCAACCTCTATTCATCACACAACCTAGTATCCGCTACCACTAAGAAAACCTTGAATCCAAGATGGTAGAGGACGGATGGACGGACCTAGGAGGAATTTGTCTGCGGATCTCTACCTTTGAAATTGTCTTCTCGTTGGCAAACAAGCCATCCACAGCAAACCAAGCCTTCATATGATGAGAAAAAGAAGGAATGAGTAAATGATTGATGGAAGGAAAGGGGGAGGGAGACTTCCAATAGAGAAAAATAGATTAATTGGGGAGGAAGAAACTTGTCGCATGCATGGTGATTAGGTTTTTACCATGCCAAAAATATGATTAAATTATATTTTTTTAAATAAAGGCAAAACAAACTTTTAATTATTTCGTTTATTAGTAAATTTTATTTATTAAGTTAATATAAATTTTTAAACATAAGTTAATGTAATTTGGGAAAAATGCTAAATAAAATAGTTTTTTTCAATTCACTAGTATATAGATTGAGCTCTAACCAGAACATATCCTCAATCATTGTGTAAAAAAACTTATCAAATACGTAGCTATTCCACAATAGTTTGAGAAAATTTACAAAATACTATTATGTAGCAATTTGAACAAAATTGCTATACTGACCAAGTCTATCTTTGCAATCTTCTTCACCAGGATCTCGTTTTCTCGACTCCCACTCTTCCACTCTTTTCTCCATTCTCGCCCCTAAAAAATCACAAGAGACTGCCACTCTCCATTATCCTCTCTGATTATCAGCTTTCGTCCAACATACCATTCCATCCCTTGCTCTTCCTTCACCAACTATCCAATCTTCACCGCCACCTGATCCTTGTACTCCTTGTATTCAAGGCGCGAAAAACCTCCTTAATCCTCACAAATTTGAACTTAAATCACACAAGATGTATATGAAATTATAGCATTGTCAATTTGGTACTAATTGCGTCGTACGTATATCCCTCGTAACCTCATTTCAACAAGAAAATAAATGTAAATTAATAAAAATGAAATAATAATAATAATAACGACATTTATAACAAAAAATTATAATAAAATAATAATAAATAAAAGTAAAAATAAACAACAATAAAAATAATTGAATAAAATGCAAAATTTACCTTTATTTTGGTGTGCTTGGATTCAATTGAAGAAAATGAAAAGTTAAAATCAATATTGAAAGAAGAAAAAAGAAGGAAACGAGACTTAATCGTGAAGATTCAAAGTTGAAAGTCTAGTCTACAAAGAAATAAGGACTTCCTTGCAAAGAGAGAGGACTACGAGTTCAAATGGTTGGAACTTTAGAGGATTAATGTTGCAAAAAAAGAAAAATGGTATATCAGATTAAAGCACAACTGTTAGATCTGTGGTGATCCAACAGTGGTGAGGGTCAATCTGTGGGCCATGGCAAGACCAAATATCTATCGTTTGGATTATTTTTAATCCAACGGTGTAGGGATAACATTGAAATGGCAATCCACGCCAAATACATCTTACCCGTTGGATAGAAATCAATCAGGGGCTCAGATCGGTTCAAACAAACACAAACGAAAAGGGAAATAAAAATTAAAAAGGGATATTTAGAAAATACAGACTCGGAATTCGCAACATTATTCAAAAATTTATTTTATAATTTAAATTTTACTAAATTATAAAATAAAATTATCAAATAAAAATTTTTAATATTAATTTTTTTATTTAATAATTAATATAATGTAATTTAATATAATTTAAATTATATAATACTTTTTTTAATTTTAAAAGAGAAAAATGAAAATAAGTACTATAGATTATTTATTAAATTATTTAAATAAAATTAATAATTTTCTATATTAATTAAAAATACTTTTAGTAATTTTATAAATATTCATGGTTTTTTTATTAAGAGAATGATTTTCGACAGGCCCCTTGGAAAACCTATAATAATAAAAAAAAAAAAAAGACGGGAGTCACGGGACCCGTCACTCCGCAGAAACTTCCCCCAAAAAATCCTCTTTCTGCGAGGAAAAGTCCATCTACGGTCATATTCTTCATCTAGAATTCCGATTTCATTCGGCATCTCCACTCCTGGTTCTCTCTCCCTCTTGAAAGCCTCCCGCTTTCCTGGCCGGCGCCGATCCTTCCGGCTGTCTATCTGATTGCCATCTCCACCAGAGCAATCCAGGAAAGTTAGATTGGCAG